TGGTCCATTGGAATCTAAGAAGGGTGTGATAATCAAGGATGATCAGGACAAGGCAGAAATTCAATTTTTTTTTTTTTTTCTTGTTTCATTAAGCTGCATCATATAAAGTGGAATAGCCCATAAAACTCAGACTCACAAACAATACTATAATAAAAGGTTAAGTTGTGATGTGCCTTTGTCTGCCCTCTTGGTATTCAGGCATTCATTGGGCATACATTGTTTAGTAATTATGTGGCTAGGTGTTGCAACTGACTGTTTATGGCAGGCCCAAACTTGGGCCTATACATGTGGTTGAGGAAAATAGAAATATAAACTTGTATAAACATTCTCTGTTTACAATTGTAAAAATTCCTTCTCTTCTTTAAAGGGGAATATCTACTAAATATCTAAAAATCTTCTTACTAAACCTCAAACTCATAAAAATGTATCATATGCATTTCAATTAGTCACTCTACATTTTAATGTTTCTTTAAGGTTGCCATCTTGGTATTCCAGCCCTCCTTGGGCATAAATTGTTTAGTAAATATGTGGCTAAGTGTTGCTTCTGACTGTCTAAATTTATGTCAGACCCAAACTTGGGCCTATACATCTGGTTAGTATTTATGGTACTGCCTGTTAATAATCTGTCTTATTTCACTGTCCATCACTACGTTGGTTTAGCCCTTTTTTGTGCTCACACGGGCCTGGTCAAACATACTTGAATGTTATGTTGGTCATAATAACCAACTCATGCACATCAAATTTTACAAACTTGCATACATTCGCTTCACATTCAACCACTTAGGTCCCTTATGTGGTGCAACCTCATCAGCATTTTAGAAACGATTCACATCTTTGCCATCTGCAGACAGCATGTTTTCTCTGTTAGACTAACTTGTTTCCATCATGTTCTACCGCATTTCAACTGGTTCAGGTATTGTTATTGCGTTTACTGTCATATTCATACGATCCACATGTGTTCAGTTTATCTCATACACTCATGTTCATTAATCAATAAAGTTATAGCTTATGCTAATATTACTATATTATTCTACGATTATTCTAGCATGT